AAGATATTCTCCCCAGGTCTGCTGGCCTGTTCATTAGCTGGTGAGTACGTTGTGTTCTCTTTTAGATATATATATACACCACCACAGGTAGCAGGGTATGTTTCCATAAAACTGGAATGAAAAACTTCACTCTGAGACCTAACTTCACTCTGAGACCTAATAATCCACAGTGGTCCTTGGGGGACAGGCTGGGGTCTGCCTGGCCCTGCTGGGCCAACAGGAAGACATGGCAGGGCCTGTGTTGGTCTGACAGGCTCAACACACTGTCAGGAAGATAGTAGATGGGAACAAAGCGGTCTGATGACTAATGTGGAATTGGTTTCTGACTTTTTCCTGATGTCCTATAGACTGGTCATGGCTTTTAGGAGGCCTGCTGATGGGCAGGGCAGTGTCTCAGAGAAACCTTCCAGGAAAAGATCCTCACTGGCTCAGCTGCTTCGGCCTAAGCAAAAATGCCTGCAGCACCAGCACTCCCAGAGGCTGCTGCATCCTCAGCATCTATCTCGGTCCCACTGGCCAATGCCCGGGCCCTGCAGTTGCATCCTGAGAGCTGCAGAGCAGCAAGGATGCTCAGCCAACCCAGGTATCACAGACCAAGTTGGCTTGGTGTTGCGTGCTGCTGAGCAGTGTAGGAGTGGAAAACAGGCTCCGCAGACAAACTTCGCCTTCCGCTCCCCAGTTCACATCCTCGAAAACGAGAGCATCCAGCCCACCAGCCCTGCTCCCTCTCCCACTCTTCCACAGCTCCTTGCCTACTCTCAGACACATTGGACATCTCCAGTTTTTGCACAAAAGCAAAGAGCCCATTTACAGCCACCACTGGGCAGTGGCTGTTCTAAGAATCCCTTGAAATTAGGAGGCCAGTGTGTCTGGAGGATTCAGTGGGCAAGCAGAAGAGGAAAATGACAATGAACATCACTTGGTATAAACCAGGTTCCCTTTAACCTCACAACAGTCCTCTGTGGTGGCGGTTGCTGTGACCTCCATGGTACAGACTAAAAAAATAACATTCTCCTCACCAGATCAAAGTGCCGATTTTACTTCCATTTTCTCTTTCACTTAGCAGGTCTCTAATTCCAGCTCTGGGAATTGGTCTACCCAACACAAGCCAAATGCCACTTCCAAGAAAAATATGCCTTTCAGGGTGCTTCTCACCCCAGTAACTAAAGAACTCTCTTGAAGGTAACAAAAATGTGCCATAAATCAAGCATGAACTAATTCTTCCCTTAAATCTTGCTCTATCCTTCCAAAGCCCAGCAGTACAGCTGGGCCCCACTCCTCTGAACCCCCAGTCCCATCACCGAACGAGAGAGGCACAGCATCAGGAGCACCTCCCGTCTTGATCTACTTTGCACCATTTTCCTATCTGTAATACATGGATCTATGGCTCATTCATTCATCAGTTGCCCAAGAGTTTCAGAGAACCTGAATTTCAGCATTTGGGCATTTGCCCCTGCCCACAAGAAGCTTAAAGTCTAATAGGAAAGATAAATAATAAAAAATAAAAATTATAATACAATATACCCATAGCATGCCTTTATAATACAGATTCCAAGAGAACTCAGGGCATCTCTTACTCTGCACTGCAATGTTCTCTAAGGCAGAACAGTGCCAGGCACACAGCAAGCATCCAGGAAATATCCAATGAATGGATGAGTGAGCAAATGAATGAATGAATAGTACATGCTATACTGCATATAACCCAATAACAGTTGTAACATTTGCCCAGAGATTCTTGTATCTACTGTTTATTAAGCATTTCCCAGGGCTGAGCACTGTGTTAGGCACTTTTCAGGGCTAATCTCACATCATCATTGCCACAATGACCACATTACCCCAGTGAAAACTTTATTATTCCCATTCTGCAGATGAGGAAACAGACGTGCAAAGAGTTAAGCTCAAGGTCCTGTAGTCAGTAAGCTACAAACCAGACCTGTCCCGCCCGAAAGCCTGTGCTGCCCCGAACCATTAGGCTCACAGTGGCCCGGTCTTGAAGGGCAGGGAATGCTTCCCAAAGAACTGAATAACCTGAAGGGACAGAGAGGGAACTTCAAAGAAGGAAGGTTTGCAATGGCTGGAGAAGCAGACCAAGGAGGAGGTGGACCTTTTTCCAGTTAAATGCAGTGGGTTTTATAAACTCCTTTCACAGTTGCTGACGCCCTCTGTACTCAGATGTGAGCACTTCAAGGGAAAATACTAAAGTCCACAGACTCCATTCAAGAGCAGCAATTCCTCCATTGTTGAAGTGACTAGATCCCATCCCGGGCAGTCCTACGTTCAGAACTCCAGAACCCGCAGATCGTGGAAGGGGAGTCAGGTGAGGAGCTGTGAGCAGGAGCAACCCTCAAGCCCTCTCTCCATCTTCCCTCAGAGAGAGGACAGTCCACACTCCAAAGACACGCAAGGAAAAGAACCCAGAGGCTTGCTAAAGCGCATCCATGAAGTGACATACCAATTCCACACCTACATTCCTAACCAACGGTCTATAAGCCATTGTACTATATACGCTGAGCATACAATGGTGATCAGTGCATTCTATTGGGGATAGACAGACAGACAATAAGACAAAATGAAAAATAAAAGTATTTAAAAGAGTGATGAGTGCTGTGACAAAAATGAACAGGATGATGGGCTAGAGAGCTAATGGGGGAGGATAGTCTCTTGAAGGCCTTTGATATCAGACCTGAGTGATGGGGAAGAGGCATATGGGAGGAGAGCATCCTCCACCAGACACAGAAAGTGGGAAAACAGCAAGATAAACCCACAGATGGAAATGAGCTTGGTGTGTCGCAGGGAAGGCCACCGTGGATAGAGCACAGGGAATGAGGAGCAGCTGGAAGAGAATGAGCACAGAAAGACAAAGGGGGGTCAAGTCAGGTATGGTCTTGTAGGCCACTGGAAAGATTTGGGACAATGCGACGCCACTGGAGGCTTTTTAACCAGCCAAGTAACATGAACTGGTTTTTGCTTGAAAAGGTTCACTGTAAATGTCATTAAAATGGATACATATTAATGATACACAATAGTGAACTGGCCCTGATTCTACCTGGCCCATGACACATTGCATGCTGTCTAATAATTTATCCACACACAAGCATCCACCAGAGTCCCAATAAACAAGTGACCAGCTGCTTATAGTTCCACAAATGTGCTTTCAAGTAAGTTAGACCACTTATTCTAAAACTCAACTTTCTCTCTCTCTTTGTCATTCCCTCCATGGATGGGGGTGAAATTAAAGGTTCTGCCCAAGGCTTGCAAATCTTACCACTTCTAAACAAGTCCTGAAAAGAGACAGAAGAGTTGGGTTTTTGGGGTCAGTGAGGAAGCATAAACACATTCCAATTTGGGCAATGAACTGAAACCCCAAAACCAAGAGAGACCAGCTATCCAAGTCCACAATCAAGGGCCTACTGATCACTTGGTTGGTCTGATGTGATGACTGATGTCAGCCTGCAGGGTGATAGAGAAGCCAAGACGTTAACACAGGCCAGCTTAACTGTCATCTGCTGAACAACATATACAGGAAAACACTATTTCAGCATCCAACACGTCAACAGGCAACCTACATGAGGCTATATCTGTAGTAAGACCATGCCAGAAACCTAGGCTAATCTGACTCTGCTATTCAAAAATTCTCCCTCATGTTAGAGCACATGTGTTTGGGAAAGGAAAATGAATCCAAGTCAATTTTAGACATTGTTACTTGGAAGCCATCTGGAGTCCCTGGAAGCATAAGATGTCACCACATGCCCTGCCCTCAAATGCCCACTGTAATTAGGGCAGTATGCTTACACGGGAAGTCAGTGTCCCCTATTCCCCAGGGGTGTCCCTACCCCCACCCTACCAGATGCCAGCCCAGGCTCCACTTCCCACCCAAGAAAGGTATTTGGTTTCTTAGTAAACCTAGTGGAGAGCCCTCGAGGTGTCAAGCTTGCACTTTAATTGCACCCAGGCCGAGTTATCTGTTTTCCACGGGCTTTAGAACTGCACACCTGAATTTCTTTGCCCCAGCACCTATGGAAATCCCTCCCCAGGGGCAGAAGATGGCTGGAAAATCCCCTCCTCCGAACAATGCTGTGTTCAGAACATGTCTAGTTTTGGAAGAGACCCACCAGAAAGAATCCTTATGTAACGTTAATGTATGTTGGCACCCCGCAGAGCTGCTCCTGGGGACACTAGCCCAGATGTAGCCCATTTTCACTGTGATGACAGTGGGCTGGGTCTTGCAGCTTCCAAGGGTCTGGCTCCTTCTGACTGTGGGGCTTCTGTCCCCCTCCCCTACCTGGCTGTGTTCCTCTGCATATCTCATCCTCCTGAGGAGTTGGGCCTCCCTTTCTGCAGCCTCTCCCCTTCCTTTGAAAACAGTTTTAGGACCAAGCTGACAGCAGCGCCATTCCACCAGCCCTTCCCTACCCCCATTCCCCCCACCTCTCCAGATCCTCTCTCCACCACCTAGCGCCTTAACAAACCTAGCCAGGAGAGAGATCCAGAATCTTGTACAGTCATAGTCCCAGAAAACAAACACGGCAGGAGGAAGGCTCAGCTCTGCCTAGCCGACCAGGCCCAACACTTGCCCTGGACCCCTAAGAATCCCTGAATTCGGCGCAGGGGAGGAATCTTTGGAGAGCGACTGCCCTTTGGCTGCCTCCAGCATGATCAGAGCAAACACCTGTTTCCAGGAAGCTATGTGAGCAAAGGGAGAAGGGCGTCCCGGGGAAAGGCAGGAAGAACGAGGTGAAGGGGCAGCCGGGGACGCAGGTAAAGGATGCGTCACACTTTGCGCTTGGCAACCGGGGCCCCGGAGCAGCAGGCAGAGCGTGAGAAGGGCTCCGGGGTCTGGGAAGTTCAGAGAGGAGGGGTCGCACCTGCGAGCGGCACCTCGAGGGGCCAGCCAGCAGGGAAAGAGGTCAGGAGGCCGGACGGACTCCATCACCTGCGCGTCCCAGCGAATGCAGCCTCGCAGGCGCGCACCGGCCCGCGGCTGCCAGCGGGTGACCTACCTGCCCACCGTCTGGTTGGCCAGCTGGCGCATGCGATTGAACTGCTTCTTCATCGTGGCCCCGCTGCCGCGCTAGCCCGGGTGCTGGGGAAGGACGGAGCAGCCCGGAGCCCGCCGCAGGGTTACATGGCTCCCGTGCGGAGCCTCCCGGGTGACGGCGGCGACACTGCGGAGCCTCCGGGAGCCTTCTGGCCCGTGCGCGGCTCCCTCCCGAGGGCACCACCACCTACTCCTCCTCCCGCCGCGGCGCCTGCTGCCGCATCCTCCTCAAGCGCTCCGCGGCGCTTTCATAGTAACGCCCGGGGTCGGCTGGAGCGCCGTCCAGGTCCGCTGGGCTGTCCGCCCCCAACCCCAGTCCCGCGCGGGGACCCGGGAGTCTCCGCAGGCTGGCTGGCCCGCTGGCCGGGTGGTCCCCGCTGCGCCTGTGCGGAGGGCGCCGTGCATTCTGGGACTCGTAGTTTCTCGCCCTGGCGCCCACCTTTCCTCTGACCAAAGTTTGCAAGTACGGTGGGGTGCAGAGGTGGGAGAAGGTTGTGTCCACAATAGCACTGCCCTTTAGTATTCTAGGAAGGAAACGTCTTCCTGCTTTAAAAATAACAAGATAGAACTAGGAATACAACAGCAAAAAAAGAAAGTGAGCATGTGTCTTTCGTTGTATTTTAAGTGAATGAGGCGTCGCTGTTTTGGATTCACAGGAAGAAGATTCATGCTAGAAGGTGCATCAGTCATAAAATGCATAAGGTCATCTGATTAATGTTGAGGTGCGGGGTTAAGCTCGGGGCGTAGGGTTGACAGGCAGCTTTTGAACCAAGCATGGCATGCATCCCAGAAATGTGAGTCTCAATTTTCACCAAACCCAATCGGTAACCAGGAGCCAGTATAGAAGGACATAATGATTGTGGCATTCAATCTATGGGCCCAATTTGACTGGCTTAGATTTCAGTCTCATAGCTAATCACATCTCTCTTCCACCCCAGGAGACCAAGGGGTGTCAGCTATGGCAGGCCTGGAGCATTCTACACGGCAGCATCCCACTGGTATCAGTTGGTTCTGTGAAAAGGGGTTGTAACTTTCTGCAGGCTCTGTCCATAGGAAAATACAGGTGACTGCAGTTAGGTTTTATCATTATCTATCAAGTAAAAGCAGTATTGTTGGGCGATAGGGGCTTTGGATCAAACAGATTGGAGTTCACATATTAGAATTTCAAATACCAATTGTATAACCTTAGGGAAAAATTGCATAACCTCTCTAGCCTCAGTTTCCTCATCTCTAATAGAGAAATAATACTGCCCAATAGATGGAAAAGATAGAGTACTGTTTGTTAAATTGCCAATAATCTAGTAACATAAATTTTTATGTAGTACATTATGTCATACTCATTTACTACAAATATGATTATAGTTGGCATAATAGAGAAACTACTATTCCTACCACAGAGGTACTGATTTGATAAGTGAATGAACTTTTTTGAAATGGGATATTTTGCATATGTTGATTATAGTCACAAGATGTCCTAAATATGGTTATAAGTCTCCTGCTGGCCAGCTGGACAAAAGATGGTTTGAGGCATGTCTTGGATGAATGAACAAGGAATCTTTAATTAATTGTGAATTTAGCCTCTGCTTATTAGGTCAGGCAGCTCTAGCCAATTAATAAGCGAAGGAATTACTTGCTTTTAACCAACTATAATGTCAATTTGATTTTTATACAAACTGAAATTATTTCCGTGTTGAGATTTTTTAAAAACCAAGGCATAGCATGGTTTTTATGTGTATACATAACAGTGAGACATTAAGAGCACTGTGTGACTTTTAGCAGTAGTATCTCTGGTAACATCTAGAACTGCACTGTCCAAAATAGTAGCTACCAACCACATGGGGCTATTGAAAATTAAGTTAATTAAAATTAAGTAAAACTTAAAACTTAGTTCTTCAGTCACCCTAGCCACACTTTAAGTACTTGGTAGTCACATGTGGTTAGGGGGTGCTGTAGCAGACGGGACGGCACTAGGCCTAGAGAACTTCAGCAAACCATTCCAGTATCACGCCAGCCTCTGCCTCCCCACAAAAAGTAGTCTACCCTGCTAGAGTGTGGTCCAGCACTATTTTATTAACTGATGTCTTCTTCACATAGCTACTGTTCTCCTGTGAGCTTTGCCTTCATCAGGAAGCAGCTGGCGCCTTCTCTGCTTCCTACCCCACGGAAGGCGTGACAGTGCAGAAAGAGAAAGAGGTCTCCAGTCTTCTCTTCATCTTTCAAAGCTAGCTTCGGGAACACATGTGGGAGAAAAGGGTTTTGAGTTTCAAGAATATGGGCTTTAAAATTTTAATAGTCTAACCCATAAATAGAGTTTGAAGAATATGCTAGGCTGCCTAGTCCAGATAAAGAACTCACAGAGTGTGGGGTGCTGAAGATGATGGGAGGGAAGGGGGACAGGAGAGAGGGAGAGGAAAAGTAGATGATAAATGTGCAGATTTTATTATTGTTCATAAATTTTACTGCCTATCCCTATGGGAAGGAATTATACTTCATCTTCCCACTGAGGTCAAGATCAATCCTGTGATTGGCTTTGGACATGAAAATGTGCACAGAAGTGATTTATGCCACTTCCAAGCAGAAGTTCTACGCGTCATTCCGTGATCTACCCTTTTCTTCACTCTGCCACAGTGAGCCAGTTAGGGACTGCTGTGGAGCAGAGCTGTGGCCATCAGCTGCAGTGCTGCACCTTTGGTGAAAGTACAAAATGTACCTTTGTTGTTGGAAGTCAGAGGTTGGGGGGTTTTTTTTGTTACTGCAGCGTAATAGAGCCTAAGCTGACTATTACATTGGATTTCTCTGAGAAATTAGCCTGTACCTCAACCCTTCCCATGGTCAAAACCTTGGTTAGAGGCAGGCAAGTTGGAGGCAAATATATATTTGGGGGGAATCTGAGCACAGTGGGGGATCTATACACCACGTTTTCAGTGAAGGCTAGGAGTGGCCAAGCCCCAGACATCCTCTGCCTTCTAAGACATACGAGTATTAAAGATGTCTACCCGAAGTGCCTACACCACAGCCCTGTGGTGGCCCCAGACCTCCTGCACCAGGCATGTGCACTGATTCGTGTGTGTGTGCCATGAGGGTGTTCAGAAGCACCCAAAAGAGCTGCATGCGAAAGCTGTTGGGATCAGATGATAAGGCAGCAGTGGCCGAGATGTGGAATAAAGAAGCCCCGAATGAACTAAAAGTTAATTTCTGCTGTAAGAATAGACTTAAAATAAAAATTAAGCCCTGGCCAGTTTGGCTCAGCGGTTAGAGCGTCGGCCTGTGGACCAGAGAGTCCCCGGTTCAGTTCCTGCTAAGAGCACATACCTCGGTTGCAGTTTGTCCCCGCTCTGGTTGGGTTGTGTGGGTGGCAACCACTAGATGTGCCTCTCTCATATTGATGTTTCTCACTCTCTCTTTCCCCCTCTTTCCCTCCTGCTGTATCTGAAGATAAATGCAAAAATGTCCTCAGGTGAGGATTTAAAAAAAATTAATTAAAAAATAAATAAATAAAAATTAAATGCATTTGAGGGAAGAGGAGGTGGAGGAAAAGCAGGAAAAATACAGAAAATTATATTTCTTATATACCTGACTTGGACTTTGATCACATGACTTGCTTTCACAAACAAAATGTGGGCTTTATACTTGCTTCAACAACCTCATACTATCTGTTGGAGAGATGTTTTTGTTGGGATCTGATAATCCACTTAGGAGCCCCAGAATTAGAGTGGTTTTAGCATCTTTGTTCTGAGTCCAAGCATTCCCTGGAGCTGCCCCATCCAACTTGGGAGCCTCTAGGGACATTGGTTATTTAATTTTAAGTTAAGTTAAATAAAATTAGTAGTTTATTTTCCTCAGCTACACTGGCCACATTTCTAATACCCAATAAGCACATGGCCAGTGGCTACCATGTTAGCAGTGTGAAATGAAACATCTCTATCATCACAGGAAGTTCTGTCGGACAGCGCTGGTCTACAGAACAGAATTCAGAACACGAGGTCCAGTGTGAGAGAGAGAACAGGAGGCGACAAGCCCATTATGATCTTGCCACGACGTTTCACTTGACCTCTCCAGGCTCCTTCCTCACCTACAAGGGGGGTTATAGTACAAGATCGCTCCGTTATCAGTTTGGGGGAATCAACAAATCGACCAGCCTATTTGCTCACTAAAGTGCTGTTGACCTAGATGTTCCTAAGCCTTCCAGTGTTTAATATGTCCATTATAACATTCAGTGCTACATTGTCACTGAAGGATATTATTTATCCTTTTCAGGTCAAACTGACACCATTAAAGTGTATGGGTTTGTCTGCGATATTTTTGAAACAAGATGATAGATGTTTCCATCGCTGGGCATTATGAACTTCAATTTTGCAGCCTCACCTTGGGCAGAATGTATCTTCCTGCCTAGTAACTTTGGACTTGACTTTGTGACTGCTTTGGCCAATGGCACGTGGGTGGCAGTGACATGCGGCACCTTCACACCATGCACTAAGAGGCTTTGTACATTTTCCTCTTGTACCTCTGCCAAGGCTGTAAGAAGTGCTTCCTCCAGGGGGCTGCCTGTCTCTCACCGAGGGCTCTGGGACAAACACTACACACGGGCAGAGCAGGACGGATACACACCACAGCTCAAATTTAAGGAGTAATTATTGATCATTGATTTTAGGACTGGCTATTTTAAAAGATAGATTGAACACATAGATCTAAAGAAAGGAAAAACTGAAACACAACTTGAGGAGTGAGAAAAAAGAATTGAATCACAGATGCAAAAGAAATTGTGAGAGAATACTTTCACAATTTTCTGTTTACTTATTTTAAAATAAATTCCTTTTTCACTAGGCAAAAGATAAATTGCTATAGGTGTTTCAAAAACAGGTATCAAGCATGCGTAGACCAAGATTAGTAAGGAAATTGGGAAACTTGTTACAGAACAAGATTCCTCAGAGTAGTTAGGCCCAGGGGGCTTTCTGGGGAGCTCTTTGAAAGCTGCGAGGCACAGGTAATTCCTCTGCTGTTTAAAGTGTTCCCGAACACAGACTAAAAGGAGAGCAACCCCATCCATCTGATGAAATTGGCCCACCTCTGTTACCAAACCTGATGACGGCAGCACAAACACGAAAACAGCAAACCTATATCACTTAGATAGATGTTAAAATTATTACTAAAATTAATTCACTTATACGGTGTTAGTGAATAAAATCTAACAATTTGTGTGTTTATACATAAATGTGCATATATTCTAATGGTATTTATTAAAGAATAAATAACTCAGATAAGTTTAAAAATGAAAACCATGTACATTCTTAGTGACTAATATAACATGAATTTATAAATATAATTTTTTATTATTTTTTGTTAATCCTCACTG